ATTATTATTTTGTATTATGTATTCATTTTTGTAATAAAGAAGCAACATTTTTGACTCAAAAATAACCCGCTTGCACCCGTACGAACATGTTTTAATAAGTGAAAATAATTTTCTCTAGATCCCAACATTGAACGTGCATGTCAACCCGTGCTAGTGAGGAAACCCACCAAACATGTAATGGAATGCCGAGGTTTCATTCTGTAGATTACGGGATACGAAACAAAGGGCTTGAAAACTATGTTCTAATTGTCTAAAACTAATTATGGCCATGTGATGCATGGTAGTGTGTAGAAGCGTAACATGCGTTGCGAGTTGTATGTGTGCCTTTCACCCGTATGCCAAAAATTGTGAACTGATATTTGTTTGCGCTTTTTGTTTTGTTTGATGCAGGACTGGGGGTAATTCTGACTCCAAGTATAGAACGCTTACGTGGTTTTGTGTCAATGATTTCTTATAAATGGACCGTCTTCTTTCTTTAGTGTATTCTATACAGAGGTGATCGTGTGTTACCGAATTCATGGATTTCGTTTTATTACAATTTACTGGAGGAAGATGTCCTGTGTTATAACTATGAATGTGGCACTAAAATAATTTTAGTTTCTGGTATATACAAGGTTGCTCTTTTATCAGAAACACGTACGTTTCTCGTTTCATCACTTTCCTCTTATTACGATACCACAAGCAGCGAGAAGCACAAGATGTCTAATGTTTCCTAGCGTGGGCAAAATGTGATAGTACAAATGATTCAGCACGCTCTGTATTCTCGGTTGCTGCGTACCACGAATATCATGCCAAAGAGACCGAGATATAAAAAAAACATCACTACCTTGTGATGAAATTGCAAATGCAGAGCCACGAACCGGCAGCTTCCCCTCGCTTCGAGACTTAAAAAGCAAATGAAATAATATGCGACTACAAAACTGTGTGTTATGTCCAGAATCTCCGACATCTAATTTAAAATTGCTAAGTCCTAAATAAACAACTCTTCTTACGGGAATTGAAGAGCTCCCGCGCGTCGAGTAATGAGAACAAAACGACAGGTCATTAATTATGCATTAAATATTTACGTTTCAACGTATGTATTAATCCTATATGTTACATCGCTGGTAAGCATTAATATTTACAACACGGTGTGGACATTTGGATGTTTTACTTTCTTATACATTCGTTTGTTAATTTTGAGATGCAAATTGATTAAAGGAAAAAAAGATGCATGGATTACAGATTATTGGAAAAAACTAGAAAAGCAATCATCGTGAATAAAGAGCAGAAACCCTAGACATTCTAGAGACTCTTTACTGTAGCGTGAGATCGAATCTAAGAGAAGCTAACTGCAAGGCAAGGGCTGAGGCTCGGCACTGCCTCGTTTGTTTGCTGCGAGTGCATTCTGCGCGAATGCTGTTAAATGCCTTGGCGGTGTGCGCAGCGCAGACAAGTGCAGCAGGTAGGCGCAGCGGCGCGCGGCCGGCGCTCTTCCGGATTCCGCATTGTGGCGGTCGGCGCGGCGCGGCGCGGCGGCGAGATGCCTCGCGCAGATTGCTCTCGTTTTGCTCGCAGCGCTGTATCTGCGGCGGCATCGCGTCGCCGGTTGCGGGGCCTCGGTAATCCGCGCTGCGGCGCGCGGCGTCGCGTCGCGCTGTGGGCCCTCGCGCCCCGCCCCTCTCGGCACGCCCTCCCTTCCAAACCCTTCCCCTCGCCCCGCTCCGCCTTGCGTTTCGGCCTTTTTCGGCGTCGCCCCGCCACTTCGTCACGCTTTGATTTCCGCCTGCCGTGTCCACCTTCCTGCGTCGCTTTCCTGCTTCCTGCGACCTTTCCCGGTTCTCTCAGAGCCTCCTGCCCGTTCAGTGACGTGGACCTGCCACCCTGCCCCTCCAATTTGTGGGTCTAACCCTCTAGCACCTGCCACCGCTTGAAATATCATGCCTCCCTCGCTGTGGGATGTCTTCGATCCGTCTTCCCCGGTGAGCTGCGTATGTCCGTATGGAACCGTTTCCCTTTTCTTTATTTCCAGTTTTTATTTCTTTCCATACCTTATTAGCGCCTCATCTCTGTCTCCACTTCGCAATGCGATTTCCCACCCTTCTACGACTCGGTGCTTGTCAATATGAATACTTTTCTTTATCCAGGTCTACACTATCCAAATTTTTCCCCCACTCTGCTTCACGCAGAGTTTCTCTTTTACGCGAACTGGATTCCATTAATATCTCACCATAACCGAACCATTTTGCTCCACCCGTGTCACCTTGTGACTCGCAAAATCTTGCGCCATTTTGTGCCACCCCGCTGCACAAGTTTTCTGATGAGCGTCGCTTCGCTGCACTTCTCTTCGGCCGATTCGACTTTTCAGTGTACGGCGACCAACGCACGGGCGGAATGGACAAATGACTGGGTGCATGCAACCGTAAATCCAAAGCGCCCACTTCAGCTTCTATTTTATTTAATACGTCTATTTTTATTTTTCTCGATACATTATGCAATGGAGAAATACGTGCAATCGTGCGAAAAGCTTTCAGGGAGATTTCCATCGCATTTTGAGGGACTTGCGTGTTATTGGGTTATGTTGGAGCTTGTTTTTCTAGCTTTCAAGTGCAGAACTGTAAATGTTTAACTAATGTGTGTGTGTGTGTGTGTGTGTGTGTGTGTGAGAGAGAGAGAGAGAGAGAGAGAG